CCGCCGCGGCGGCTCTGCCTCCGCCCGCGTCCGGGGGCTTGAGCCGGGGGAGTCCGGCGGGGAAGGAGGGGCCCGTGGTAACGCAGAGGGCAACCAGCTGGTGGACGAGTTGGTAAAAAACCAGTTTTCCTTCCGAAAAGCTCTCGCTGGGGCCGCGCTTGCGGCTCAGCGGGATGTCGTGGACGGAGACGGCAGAAGCATCGCTTGTGGGTGAAGCGGCAGCCCGTGCCGTTCGCTTCAGTCGGTGATTTGACGAGCGGAACCGTCTTCCCGGACGGCCCCGTTAATGCCGGCGCTTCTCTCCGCAGGTGCCAAGAACCTGTACATCATCTCCGTGAAGGGGATCAAGGGGCGCCTGAACAGGCTGCCGGCGGCCGGCGTGGGCGACATGGTGATGGCTACTGTCAAGAAGGGCAAGCCGGAGCTGAGGAAGAAGGGTGAGCGCGGAGAGGAGCGGCGAGTCCCGCTGCGCCGAGGGGCAGCCCCTGCCGAGAGCCTGCCTGCGCCGTAGCGTCCCTCCTTCGAGGGGTGCGGAGGCAGGCCGCTCGTCGGAGGGGAGGACAGTTCCTCCCTCCAACCGACGCAGGAGGCTGGCCCCAAATGTCTGGAGCGTCGCCTCCGCCCTTCTAAAAAGCACTTGCTGGGTCTGTGCGCAGTGGCTCAGCGAGTTGTCGTGGAAGGGCAGAGCAAAAGCATCGCTTTTGGGTGAAGTGGCAGCCTGTGCTGTTTATTTCAATCGGTGGTGTGACATCCTGCCTTGGAAAAGAAGGTTTGCTGCTGCCCTGGAGGGGAAGGGAGGCGTTCTTGCTGAATATTGTCTGTGAATTGATGGCGTATTTAGAAATAAAGGTGGGGAAGCGGAAAAACACTGAGTTGTCCAAGCGTAGACGCAGCCGTGAGAGTTACACGGCCGGTTTTCACTGTACTATTGACTATAAACTGCAGCTTCTCTTAGTGAAGCGCCGCAAACATGAGATGCAAAAAAACAAACCCCCACCAAACCACCCCAAACCCGCGCATTGAGTTAGATGCTGCAGCGGAACAGTTCTGCTGGGGCCTCCGACGCTGGGCTGTGCGCTTACCGCGATGGTTGCGATACCGAGCTGCTCGTTTCTCTTTGCAGTCCACCCAGCAGTGGTCATTCGGCAGCGGAAATCGTACAGGAGAAAAGACGGGGTGTTCCTCTATTTTGAAGACAACGCGGGAGTGATAGTAAATAATAAAGGTGAAATGAAAGGTAGGGACGAGAATCCTGTTGCGCTGGGCGAAAGGGGAACGCGGAGCGGGGCGGTGGGTCGGCTCTGCCGGTTGGAGGGCCGTGCCCTCCTGGGCAAGGGGACCCGGGTTCTCCTCAGAGCGAGGAGAGCGCGGTCGGGCTGAGCTGGTGTCTGTGTAAAGCGGTGCCCTGCACCGTCTGCGCCTACTCGGTCCTCTTAACGCGCCGCCGTCTTTTTCTCTTTTCCAGGCTCTGCGATCACAGGCCCTGTGGCTAAGGAGTGTGCAGATCTGTGGCCCAGGATAGCCTCCAACGCGGGAAGCATTGCGTGAACGCGTTCGTCTTCGCAGAGATAAAAATAAAAGTCCTTGTACCAAATAAGTAGTGTCTTTTCTTGCCAAAGCGCTCTCCTCTGCCGGGCGGGACAATGTTATAATGAGGGGGTTAGTTCTGGGAAACCTTTTTACGCAACTCCTTGTGTGGACGTCTGCTTCGGCAGGAAAACGGGATTTGGAGTTTGGATATCCAATGACAAGTCTCTTTTTCAGGCAGGTTCCTGTCTTACTGGAAAACACCTGGAAGGGGGTTGCACTGGAATGACTTAAATTTTGGCAATGCTGACTGAACTGATCCCATTTAGGTATGCACGGATAGAAACTGGGAGGTGTCTGGAAGCCCTTCTACAAGGAACCTTCGTACAGGGGCGCTCAGAATTGTAGGTCTGGCATTTTCTTCCAGAACGGGCAATTTAACTGCTTAGAGATACTGGTCTGATTCGGGGGGGGGGTTTTTTTTTCGGGGGGGGGGGGGGAAATACTGCCCGAAACCGATGTGTACTGCGAGCTGCAGAGTTCATTCCGGACAGCGAGCTCTGAAGAATGTTTTTTAGACCTTGCTGAAGACGTGCGAGGACGCGTGAAGCCCGCTGCTGCTGGCTGAGGTCGTGGCTGAAGCACGTGCCTCTAAACCCTCCCCCAGTGGTGAAGCGGGCCCCGAGATCACAGACTGTTAATTGCAGATAGAAGGGGTGATCTGAACTTTGAAGACCAGCTGAAAGGCTTCCAAGACCAGAGTCGGAAGGTATGTCTGTGCAAAAGCTCCTTACGCTATGTGAAGTCGCTTGTGATTTTCCTGGTGTTCCTCTGCCTGAAGCAGAGGAATGCATTCGGATGTGAACTGCAGGTCAGCTTGTTTTCCGGCCCTCCCGAGCAAGGGCCACTGGAGGGGCAGGGAGGCTGCCTTGTACCTGGGCCCGCAAGTGAAAATAGGGGTGACTCTGTCCTGGAGATCGTGGCCCTGGTGCCCGGTAACCCAGACTGACCGGAGCATGCGCGCTGCTGCGGGCCACAGGGCAGGTGATAGGGTGCTGCTCCCCGCCCTGAGCTGCGGCTCGTACCTCAGGCAGCCCCTGGTGTGGTCGGGCTTGCCTCCATCTGCCCTGGCGCTTACCTCTTCTCACAGCACGCTTCACTTCTCCCGCAGAGATCTCCGAGATACTGTTGTGCTACTCCTAATGTTTTCAGGGGAGGAAGGAGGGGGGTGAAGGGAGAAAAGCCTCAGAGATTTTTTGTAGCGCAAACAGGTAATGATGGACAAGAGCACCAGGGTCTTGCAGTGGTTTGTAAAGTGGTGGCGTTTTTAAGCAGCTCTTTGGCCCAACCAACGTGAATCTGCAAAATGTCCTGGCCTAAAAATTTCTGTTTCTCAGCCGTTCCTGCCGGATGATCGGGAGCTGCGCGCTGGCAGCAGCTGGGGAGGGGAAACTTGGGAAAGGACTTGCACGGACTGAGGGCAGCTCTCTCCTCTACAGGCCCTTCCACGGAGCAGGCGAGCGGTCGTGGCTTCTTCCCAGCAGACCTGGAACCCCCGGAAGGGTACAACGGGCGCTCTGGCCGTCAGCGCAGCGCTCCAAGCCAGCGGCTGAAGTCGATCCCTTTCTTCCCGAGCGGTGACCACCTTTCCGGTCCACCAGTGACGAAGGAGCTGTTCCTCGGACCTGGGGAGAGATGCAGAGACCTGCTTACGAGTAAGAAACCACCGCTGAAATAAAGGTGTTCTCCCTCGATCTATTTTAACAGCTCGTGCTGGCTTTTTGACTTGTGAAGCCTTTTTCTGAGGCGGGGCACGGCACGACAGCTGGACGAAACGCTTCGGGTCTTTGTCTTCCCTTGTCCCCTGCCCCTGGGCAGCCAGTTGGGGAAGACAGAGAGGCTGCGGGCAGCGTGGTGGGGTGTTGTGGCAGGTAATTCCTCTGCGAGGCTGGCGTG